AAATTAGCTTTCAAATGAAGTATCACACTTTAAAATACGTTACAGATTTTTTATCCCGATAGAGGGCGCTCAAATTAAAAGTTTCGCAATAAACTGTCATATTTATGACTTCCCCATAATATTACCTTTTTAATGATGTGCCGTACATGGTACATTCCTTATTTAAAATTAAGGGGTTGGAGAAGTGGAAGGGAGGAGGTTGACACATGACAGATGTCTGTATTGCAAAAATGTGTTTAATTTAGAATAAAAATCGACCTGTTTTAGCATTTTGCAAAAATACAATGAATAATTCCGAAAAACAGGATGAAACTGTTTTGAATGACCCACTCTGTATATAAAAAATGGCTAGATTTATCGAATTAGTTCATAGAACCAAATTAACTTTAAAATGCATTTTTCACAAGATGCGCTACATAAGAAAGATCCTCCCATCGAAAAATAATTATTGAGCGCAGCGCCATCTACGTATTGACCTATTTAAAATCAATTTATATCTAAAACTGAAGATCTCTTAGCGCTCTATGAACTGGCTTTTACAGAATTAAAATATCTCTATTACTTACCAAAATATCCAGCCTGGGAGTTTTTATTGGTACACCCTGTATATATAAGGGGAAAAAACAGAAGACGAAATCATAAACATTATTCCGTTCACATTATATTATGTTACAACAACAACAACAACAACTAGAATATCAGAAAATTATACAAAAAATCAAAGTTAAAGAGTTATTGTAAAAGTAAATTTAAATAAAAATATTGACTGAATTTATCTAAAATTAGAGTAAGTGAATCATAGTTAATATCTCATAAGTTTGTCACATGATTAAAGTTGTTGCACATTCTATAAAGTGGGGAGTTAGAAAGAATATTAGTTCTCGCATTGTCTGAGTAAAACGTAGTAATACTTTTAGAGTTGATTCTAGGAACGTAAAAATCCACTTGATAAAGGAGATTTGAGGAATCGATAGAATTTTGTACTAATTTATAGAGAAACCTCAGCGCTACATGTATTCTTCTTAGTTGTGAGAAATGGACATTGAAACGATGTACCAAAATAGATTGGTCAATACCTCTTGTAGGATAAATTCCATCAAGCCTGCTAGATAAGAATTTAAGAAACTTGCGTTGAACTTTTTCCAATGAATTTATATGCACCTGATAATGCATGCATACAATATAGTAAATTTTTTGATAGAAAACCTCACACATTTCATTTACATCCTCAATAATATCTAAAAATAACCAGTCCACATACGACAGGGCATTGTAGAGACCAGGGAAAAACGCTTTTTTGAAATTATACATGTGGGAATCAGCACCATGGGCAAAATTGACAAAGCTAGACGATTCGATATTCAGTGTTATCCTTTAGAATGGGTGCGATGCGTCTTCTCTACCAATAAGAGGTAAATAATCACGACCTGTGCCCCTAACAGAAATATTTTCTGACCCCAAAATGCACTTATTCATTCGGGTCATTCAAGCCAGTATATTTTTCGGACTAGTGACAATGAATGTTTTCATACATTTGATGGATTTGTGTGGAAAAATCGGATAAAATTTCGATTTTTCCTTAGTAACTCTTAGACCTCTTGCAACATTAAAGCCTTTAGTTTTTCAAAAACTGGTTCCATTAGTTAGTCATTTAGTGAACACGGCTTGCGTGAAAATACGGGCAACAAATATCTTCAGTTTTTGTTATGGAAAATCGAATTTTTCATATGTTATGCACAGGAGCCACTCCAGATGAACAAATAGTATACGAATAAGACTTCTAAAATTAAATCTTTAAAATTATTCACATATATTTTTGTAAAATATTGAAAAATATTCTAATTCTCTATAGCTAGTTATTTAAGGAATAGTTTTGTTTTGCATTAGTAGTGCTATATTTAGTTTAGCAAGTCTTATCGAATAGCCATGGTATAACGGAAACACATTGTATTTGCTATTTTCCACTTATGCTTTATGTTTGCTTCAAATTCTTGTTATTTTCCAATTAAGCTATGCAAATGGTTTCTACGCACACTTCATTACCTACAATACCCTTCAACAAAATTAAATAGAACACCTTCTCGTAAACAGGCAATCGATATTCCCAAATCAGGTCCTGTACGCTCCATTTCCAATTAAAATGTCAATTAGGACGAACCGAATTCATTTAGCTATTGCTTAATTAACTTTCAGGCGTTCATTTTCTTTCATAATGGCACCAGGAAAGACAAGGCAGAATAATATCGGTGAGAAATTTAAAATAATAAGAAGAAATTAAGAAAATTATTGCACAGAGGAATAAAAATAAGCCATGGTTACTAGATCCAGATAAATATAATATAATAAAGTTTTACTAGCTACTAATAAATATTACTAAATATTAATAAATATTAATAGATATTAATAAATGTAAATAAATATTAATAAATATTAATAACTATTAATAACTATTAATAAATATTAATAAATGTAAATAAATGTAAATAAATATTAATAAATATTAATAAATATTAATAAATATTATTAAATATTAATAAATATTAATAAATATTAATAAATATTAATAAATATTAATAAATATTAATAAATATTAATAAATATTAATAAATATTAATAAATATTAATAAATATTAATAAATATTAATAAATATTAATAAATATTAATAAATATTATTAAATATTAATTAATATTAATAAATATTAATAAATATTAATAAATATTAATAGATATTAATAAATATTATTAAATATTAATAAATATTAATAAATATTAATAAATATTAATAAATATTAATAAATATTAATAAATACTAATAAATATTAATAAATAATAATAAATATTAATAAATATTAATAGATATTAATAAATATTAATAGATATTAATAAATATTAATAATTATTAATAAATATTAATAAATATTAATAAATATTAATAAATATTGATAAATATTAATAAATATTAATAAATATTAATAAATATTAATAAATATTAATAAATATTAATAAATAATAATAAATATTAATAAATATTAATAAATATTAATAAATATTAATAAATATTAATAAATATTAATAAATATTAATAAATATTAATAAATATTAATAAATATTAATAAAAATTAATAAATATTAATAAATAATAATAAATATTAATAAATATTAATAAATAATAATAAATATTAATAAATATTAATAAATATTAATAAATAATAATAAATATTAATAAATATTAATAAATATTAATAAATATTAATAAATATTAATAAATATTATTAAATAGAAACGGGGGACCGAGCTTCTTCGACGCTTCAAATATTGAGAAGATTTCAAAAGTTACGCAAGGTGCGTAGCAGTAGACTATGGCCCTTTAATATAGTGTCATTTTGCTTCTCTAAGTACGATTTTTTTCATTTAAATTTTCGACCGAATTCTATATCTCAGGAACCATAAAAATAGGTACCATGATTTTGGTGTCCGATAAGGTTTTGGCTTTCTCTATTCCGAGATCGCGGCACGGCCAGACAGACATTGGCACTTTAATATAGTAGGAATAATAAATATTAATAAATAATAATAAATATCAAATATTATTAATATTAATACATATTAATAAATATTAATAAATATTGATAGATAATAAATACTATTCGCGTATTAGCTCATTCAAAGTATAATTCGGTCTTTTTCGGTTTTAAATGATTTCAAATTATGTAAAAGTTAAATGAAAGTAAATGAAAAAATCACGAAAATATAAAACATATAAAAAAATGTGGTATTTAGCACTTAATGGTTTATATCTATTATTACCAAGCTTTATACAGAGACCTCTGAGCAGCGGTACGTACGACTTTCATCTCACTCCCACAATGATTTGGCTTAGATGATCAGCATTTAAAATTTGGTTTCTATTATATAGCGTGTCCGGAAATTAGACGGTCATGTTTTAACACCGTAATCTACATCCTAAAATAGGAGTAAAAGTTTTTATAAACATAGGTCCGAAAACGTTTTATTTACGAGATACAGGTTATTAACAGTGAAGTCCTGATAACACATTTTTGTAAATATTTTCCAAACTTTTAAAGATAACCCAGTGAAATTTGGTACAAACGCTAAACTTTTTACGCTCTATTTAATGGATTAAACGCCATTTTTGATCATCTTCATAGGTGGGTAAATTAGAGGAGCGGCTTAGGGTTAAATTGTTCTAAGTTTTTTTGTTGGCTGTTTTTAACGTTTTTGGCTACAAAATTTAGAAAATCAATATTTTTTTTTTTATAATATAGCTACTTTTGTTGTATCTCGCTAGGACGCATCATTTTAAAAAGAAACGCATTTGAAAATTTCATGATAAGTTGATGTTATATTATTCGAAAGTATAATTAATAATTGGTAGGCCTGTGGAATCAGAAATTAAAATTTTTTTAACTTTGGAAAACCGATGACTAAAAAATTTTAGAAAATACTCATAAAAATGTACCATCAGGACTTTACTTGTAACACCCTGTATCTCGAAAACGAAACGTTTTCGGACCTATGTTAACCTGAACATTTACTTCTATTTTAAGATGTTGATTACGCTGTTAAAATATGACCATCTAATTTCAGGACACCCTGTATTTTAAAATTTTATTTTCTATGCACAATCCTTGCTGTTTAAGAGAAAATTACTTTTACTATTCGAATTAAATAAAATAATTTAACAATTGCAAAACATTGTTGTACGCTTTTAATTATATTTAAGCAATTCAAACAACATAATTTAATTATTTAATACTATTTTAAAGCATATGGAAATTAGAAAATTGTGGTTTGGGATTATTAGAAAAGAAAAATACCTATACCTAAAAGCGGAGCTAATTTCTATTGTCTTACAACTAATTATTTAAATAAACAATCAACGACAATTCCGTGTTCCGTGATAGCTAACAAATGTCAAGACATTGACTCACTTTTACCTTCACGCGTAAAATTTTATACAATATGCTTTTAATGTTACCTTTAAGTGAATATTCTGGCAAAGCAGGATCTAATCCGGTTATCCTCGGTATCCGCAAGTCTTTCCTGAGCAGTTTGCCAGCAATTCCAGCCACGTGACATCCTAGACTGAAGCCAATTACATGTAAATTTTGAATTGGAATTTCGCCACTGTCGTGAAAAATTTCGATGAATCTCCGCAGCCGTTGCGACACGTGTTTGACGTTCGCCACTGCTGTTTGATACCAAGGGAACGTTGCCAATTCGGACCAATCGAGGAGGATCATATTACGGGGTTCGTTTCTAGCGTAATAAGCTGGAAAAATCAAACATGAGAGGATACGGAAAATAAAATATGGTAAATAATAGTAGTTTAGAATAATTTGAAAATTCAGAAACAAATCTCAAAAATCCCCCTACGAATTATTTATACCATCCCAGAACCCCGAAGGAGTCTATATCTGTAACGTGTGGAGAGTGGAGAGTGGGTTACCATACGGAACTTAGGCCTCACTAGGCGCATAGTATATTCTCCTAAGATTATAGGCCCTTTCTAGCTCGTGAGACAGCCTACAGATTTAATGTAGCTGAGACAACGTCGTCAAGAGGTGCTTCTTTCATACCGGCCAGTGTTAGCCGATACTCGCCGATTACAAGGCTTCTAGAAAATGAGAGCGTCGAGCAATCGTATGCTCGATGGTCTTATTTTTATGTGTGCACCCCCTGAAAAGAGCAGATTCTAACAGCCCCATAATATAGAGATGATTGGCAATGACTAGTCAGAATGCCTGTGACTACACACAGATTCTGTCTAGTTATAGTCAAGTATTTGTTTGCTGTAGTTTTGTCAGGATAACTTAAAAGCTAGTTGACAACTCTGCTGTTTCTTGTTTTATTACACCTTTCCTTGAATTTCACAAGGGAATGTTCTTTAATTAGTTCTATCACTACCAATATTATCAGATCAATAGAAGAGCCTGGTCCAAAAAGTATTTAGTTGGCTGCTGACTTGGCAAGTGAATCAATAAGACGGTTACCTTTCAACGTGGCGTGAAATTTGATCAATCTCAAGTTGACCACATTGTTGATGGGATACTTCAACCAAAGCTTCGTGACATTCTAGTACTAACCCCGAGAAAATTCGTGGTCTGTTCAGGATGAGTAGTGAGTAGTGCTTGTCTACTATCTATATAGATGAGCATGTCCTTTCTAGTGATATTGTTTCTGGTGATTTATTTTGCTGCTATGAGAATCCCCTTGAGCTCTGTTTAGACTGCACTGGTACTATTTCTCATAGCCCATTTTATGTTTATGTTTAAGGATCTCAAGTATATTCCTCATCCTGTGGAAGCCTTGTTTTGTTTCGCAACCATTAGTGTAGATATTAATCGTACTTGCCACTTCCAGCTCTTTTATTTGCTCTGTTTTAAATTTATATTGCTTATGGAAGATATATCTCGGTGATATGGAGTCCATGTTCACTTAAAGCATTGGGAGCGTATCGAGCGCCTCCTGCCAAAAACGACTTCTCACCTCACCAGATCCTACATCAGGTTCTATTCCAACCGTGCAGAGGCGTGTCATTGTCGTCAGATCAACCTCCTTGATGTAAATATCAAGGGGAGTGAGACTAAGAATGACATTCATGGCTCTGGTCGGTGTTGTTTTCATGCCTCCTGGATTGTTGAGATATGCTGTTTTTGAATTTGTTCAAGCACCAGCCAGGGAAGTCAGTAAACAAGAAGCTTTCATACAGGCTAAACTACTCTGGTATACTGATGGTTTACAAACGAAGGAAGTAGCCGGTGCTGGAATATTTGGACCCCTCTTAAACGACGAGTCCAGGAGATTATGCAAGGTTTGGCTAGATTGAGGTTTCTACCACTAAGTAAAGAGCCAATTGTTTATATCTACATGCAGAAGCCACTGTCAAAGCTACTAAGTCTAATAAAAATTACCAAGCTAAACATATTCTAAACAATAGATCTCAAAACTTATGCTGGATAAGGACAACTCCTTTCAAATCTAATACAATCTAAATCTGGGTATAGTCACCAAACCTACCAATTTTGTATTTTTAGATATTTAGGAACGAATGATTTTAAAAACGGTGACTTTAAGATACGAATAGTAATGTGAGTAGAAGTAAGGGTTGTCTGATAATAATTATAAATATTCTACACACAATGAAAGAGCTTCACAGGAAAATATTATAGGAGAAGCTAATTTTATAGGAATACATGACACCACATAAGATAATCTAAAACCAAAACGGAGAAGAATTTGAAACCGAAGAATCGCCTGAAACTAGATGAACCAGAAACCAAAAAATTTTAAATCGAAGGTAATTCAATGAGTAATAGAATATCAGTTTGACAGCTAAACAAATCGACCAAGTACACGAGGAATTTATAAAGGTGAAGTTCAATCTCATTGAATAACTATAAATATTAGTACAAGAACAAGAGGTATAGGTACAAAAATTGGAGATAAAGAAAGGGCGGGAACTCAGCTATATGAGGTAGTTATACAAAAACTAGAAAAGAGTACATCAGAGCACTGGAATAAATAAAATCAATTTTTTCCAGATATTCTTTCTCATAAGAATGCGAAAAATGAAAAATTAATTGGTATGTTTCACTCAATACTGTAAGTAGATTGGGTTCTCAACACTTACCGAAACGAAAAATGTTTGGACAGAATACGAATCATACGAATCAGATGCACAAAATTGAATGTTTTTTTATTCCTTACTAGATAAAATATTTTCTACAAATAAAATCAATATATTTTCTTTTAAAGATTTGCTCTAAATTTAATTATCTTCTATCTAACTATTAAAAACCCCAAAGTAAACATTTTTACAACAATTATAATGTCTGTTAAACATTTATGAAAAGAGAAAAAAGTTTATCGATTTTTTGACAATTATCACTGCAAATTAAGAAAAGTCAAACTTCTCAAAATAATTTCCCATTACCTCTCAATAAAATTTTCTTACCATCTAAAATAGATTTTCCACTATGTCCAGGTGAACCTTCAGAAAAGCCATGTATGAATATCACAGTTTGTAGGTTACTATTTACTCCAGCTCTGTAGGCTTCTCCATGGTGCAAATTTATTGGAGTTCCATTTGGATTACTTCTAGAGTACGCTACAAAACGGATATCCCTAGAAAATTTGGCAGGACAACAGTTGGGGCATAGACCTCTGGCAAGAGCTGTGATTTTCAGTTCATTTTCACCTTAAAATTAAACAGAAAGACAGAAATTAAAAACTAAACGCAAACAAAATAAAATTAGGTTGATGTAATGAGTAAAATCATATCCATAAAAAAGTATTAAGAGTGTCAAACTGGATATTTTGTTCCCATATTATAAAAAAGTATTAAAAAATAATTGTGATTTAGATATTATGGGTTGTAACAAATTTGTATTCTTCATAATATATTTTGCTTTTGTTATCTATCAGGTATTTTGTTTAGTCAGATATTAATATTCTTTAGGGAAAATTTTTCTTTCGAAATAAAAAAATTTGAGTAAATCATGGGTCCAATAGCTTGTCAATGTCAATACTATCTATAACTTATATACCTACATTCATAAAATAGAATTCCTCTTAAGGTATACATACAATTGGCATTGATTATCATAATTATTAATTTATTCTTAACTATTGTAGTTTTTAATATATTATTAATATCATATACGGGCACCTGCATTACAATGTATTGCAGATGAATTTCTCATTATAGTTTTGAAACAAATATGTAAAACGTTTTAAGTTTCATTATCGATTTGCTATTATTTTCATTAACTATTAAACATTTTCTTTTCAGGAATCATTCTCCAAATAATATTAACTTATTTATTACAGCCATTATAATACGAGGCTTGTTGGAAAAGTTTCTGGAATTTAGTAACGATTTAGTTTTATTTATACAGCATTTAAAAAAAAAATGTTAGGTTATGTAGAAATTAAAATATCGCGTGAAAATGTTCGTAACATGAGTTTTTACTATTTCAAATGATGTGATCTAAAATCAAAACAATGCATCGGTTGTCTATATTTGAAAACTATATCAACAATTATTTAAAATATAAAATGGTGGGAGTATAATCAGTTTCTAAAAAGATTTCAATATGGAAACCGATAAAAACCAATGAAGGGAAACCAATCTCGGAACCAGATTTATACCATTTCACATAAAAAATTATAGGATTAGAATCAGTTTCTGTTATGGTTTTAATATGAAAAACCCGTAAAAAACGAATTAAGGATAACCTCCTTCTTTTTTGAAGTCGGTTAAAAACCAATGTCAAAACCAGATAACCATATAGTTATTAAAATAGTTTACACAAAAAAATTGTTTAGAGGAACCAAGCTGCGTTAGATGTACAGGGAAACATTTAACAGTGGAGTGTAATAAACCAAAAAATGCTTCTCCAAAGTGTGAGAAGGGTAATAATCGCGAATACATTATAGCCAAAGAATTTGAAAAAAACAAAAACAAGCAAACGAAGAACCCAAGCTTGTCTCCACAACTCCATCGGGATAACATGCAACATATTAATAATACAAATGAGACAAAGAATTTTAGATAGACGACAAAATGGATGATCATATTTCAAATTGGAAACATCGTGCTTAAGGAGCAACCCCTAAAGCTAAAAATGGCTAATCAATTGAAAATTTTCGAATGGAACGCAAGTGGACTGCTGAAGCACTGTACATAAACAAAGAATAGTAAATCCACTCTCCCAGTCGCCTTTGAAGTTTTTTGCACACAAGCTTGCCGCCGTTTTTGTCTCTTTACACATTCCCGGGCATACAGGTGTATTAAGAAGCAGCGAGGGCAGGCTGATTGCATGCTCTTTCGACTGGCGGCGTTGGACCGGTCTGTACAGAGAGTGGATTTACTATTCTTTGTTTATGTACGGTGGCTGAAGCATCAACAATTGCTGAAAAAGTTCTAGAATCAGAAAAAAATGATGTCTGATTGCTAAAACACATTTTACAAAAGAGTCGTTCATCAAATTTAAAGGATACAAAGTGTACGATACCATCCATACAGAAAATGTGACAAGATATAAAAGTGCGGTTATAATTAAGGAATCCATTTTATACTATCACGAAATGGGTAACCAAACAGTAGATATAATATTAAAACAAATACCTATGAAATTGGGATCACAGCTTTATATAGCCACCAATAAATGCTGTAAAGAAGCAATAATACCTTGACTGTTTGGATAGCCAAGGATACAGATTCATGGTGGGCGGAGACTTAATTGCAAAACATACTCACTGGGGATATAGACTAACAACAATAAAAAAACGATTAGCATCATGATATCAACATAAATGTCTATGTCCACTAAAATGTCTGCATACTGGCCCACAAATTGAAACAAAATACCTGGACCCTAGGATACCTGTACCCTAGGCGCAAGGCTGCAGACTAGTATTCGGACGTTGGATTTTTGGGAAATTACTTCCAGCATGTTTCTAATAATCCTCCAATTCAGTTAGTTGCTCTCTATCTTTTGCATGGCTAGTTTCTGTACCTTTGACTCCCGTACATGCTTCCTTAGACTAAGTAATGCTTTCAATACATCATGAAAAGTGGATCGATCTCGGAAGGTGTTCTTCGTTATCGAATAAAAAAGATAACGCGATCCATCTTAAAATTTCAGTGCTTTTCCAGGGGCTGGTAACTGATCTTAAAGTTCTGGCAATAGACCAAACCTTTTCCGGTTCAAAGATGCCAGACTTCGAGCGTCGTTGATGTTGGCGAAAGTGCTATGGACCAGCGAGTAGTCTTTAGAAACCGTGAGCAGATCTTGCTATTGTTCGTTTGTAATACCATGTCTTGCATTTCCGGTATCTCTGTATGACCTATAAATTCTTCAAAGATATGGTCAGGTGATTCTTGGAGCTAGTTCATTTCTTCTTTATTTTCGTCATGATCACCCTCAAATGGCAACATCCGGAATTAGTGAACTACCTTCGGTTTACCGTTCGGTAAATGACATCACTGATTTTATTCTTAAAGAGATACGGACCTTCCCAAGATATTTAAAGCTTCAGAGAATAACCCTTTTGTCTTTCTGTATTATGAAGCCAGACTTTGTCGCCTTCCTTGAAACATCATTATAACTCACAATTCTAATTTATTTATTATAATTTATCTTTTCTGTCCAACACTTAAACTCAATCTGTCGTCCGTCGACAACTCGCGCTATTTTTATAAAGTCACCTCTGTACTAGAACTTTCTAGGCTTTTCTCAACAATCAAAAACTGCCTTTACACGATTCATGCGGTAGTTTCGAGAAGCGGTGCGTTTGTCTCTATATTGCTAGACTTCATACGCGAAATTAATATCATTTTAAAGTCCTTCTGTAAGATATTAAAAATAAAAAATTACCTTGTATTATGACGTTATAGCTATTAAGTTTTTATAATACCACTTAAAGTCGGCCATTAATTTGACCTATTTTAAGAAACTGTCCACAAAAAGTACGCTGCTCAAAAATAAATGTAAACAAAAGCTGAAGATAAAAATTAAAACCGAGTAAAATAATAGTTGCATAATTATATACTTTAAAAACCCTGTGGTGTTAATTACAGGAAGAAAAAACACGTGGGTCGTTACATTGCAGATAGTCATTACATTTTAATTTGGCATACTCTCCCTAATATTCTTCGAACTAGCGCTTTTTTTAATTTCCTCTTTAGCCCAAATTCACAAATCGATGTAGAATGGGATAGGCAAAAAGTTGGCAATTTTCCAACGTTTCCTGTTCTGGAAAGTCTGGAAAATTAAAAGCATTGTATGAAAGAGCGAAAAGGAATGGTTCGACTTGACTGAAACGTTACTTTTTAAAAATGGTCTTAAAATGATACAAACGCAATTCACACATTTCAGTTTAGTCCAAACAATTTTGAAAAGATTTTTTTTGTATAATTGTCATTAAAACTGGCACTTTTAGTGAGATCTTACTATTCAAAAAGTTTATGTATACAAAGAAGCGTAAAAACAGTTTTTTTTCATCCACACCTACTTTATTATACGCCCAGTTTACAGAATGAATTAGTAATACATGTCAGTCTACTGAACCGATATATTTCAATATTCATTCTAGTACAGATATGAAATTCACCTAGTGATTGGCATTTTCTCAGAATATTCCTATGGTTAAGAAGACTCGATGGATTGGGAAAAATCAAAAATCTATTGAGTTGCAGACCTATCCTTTATTCGTCTAATAACTACAGGAGCATGTCATTGTTAATCGTAGCTTAATCATTTTTCGGGGTCAAAATAACCCGCTTAGAAAACATATTACAGCTTGTTTTAACACATAGCGCAATACAGGTTTAGGTCCAATTGGTGCCACTTTATTAAACTACAAAAGCAATTATAACAATGAGAAGATTCAAAGGTAACGCACAAATCTCAACTGTCTGATGAACAGTCTCTGGTAGCCTCTGATAGCATTTTGCAATCGGTTTCCAAGAAAATATAAATATGTATCGTTACTTAAAAATAAATAAAATCTCATTGCTATGATACAAAACCAACGCAAATAATTTTTATGCTAATTCCCTCCTCAAAATATATGACAATTATAAATAAAAAACTCAAATAACTACCATAGTTAATAGGTCATGAGTAGAAATAAAAAAATATTAAAAGGTAAAACTTTTTCCACTAGTCGGTTTCCTTGCACCTGAAGATGATAGACGTGGCAGTAATATATCTGCAGCTCTTATCAGATGTAGAAAAAGTCCTCAACCAGAGGCGAATGAACAAGGGCTAGTAGAACACTCTCAGGTAGAAACCAAGTTGTATAATCATATAACAGAGTTAGATGTTAAAACCATTCATTAGTACAAGTCGGTGAAACTGGCCACTAGTACCCTAAAATCTCGAGAAGTCACAAAAATAAAATGTTCAAAATATCTATTGCGTCTCACGATTATAGAAACCTGTAAAACTAAATTATCAAACCAAAACAATTTCTCAGCAGAGATTGACGACAAACTGACTCTTGATTAAATTATTTTTCTTTATTTAAAAAGACAATGGGACAATTAAATACTGTGCAAAAGTTGTACTGTAAATGTGGAGAAAAACGTACATTTTATTTAAACAACGGTTTTCCAAAGGATGCGAAGAAAATAGTTGGCTGTTTCGTTCTTTTAGGCTACTATGACTAGGTGAACGACACAATACAAGT